GAAGCGTAGAGAAGCTCGAGTCCGCAAATCGGCGGAGCAGGCCGCAGAAGAGGAGCGACAACTGTTGGCGCGAGAGCGAGTCCTGCGTGCCGATCTGCAGAAGGAGCTTGGGGAGGAGCAGCGACGTAGAATCGAGGCGGAGCAACGGGCGCAAGCAGCGATCGCACGCGAGCAGGCCTCGGAGCATCAGAGGCAGCAGCAGAGGGCTGCTGATGGAGAGGCGGTGGCGATCGTCCTGACCCAGCTGGGAAACTTGCGGTTGGAGAAAAAAATGCTTCAAGATCAACAGCGCGAGATGGTTGAGATTTTTTGTCCACAGGCGGCAAGCGTGATGGCGGTGCAGCAACAGCAGCACAACCGGAATCCGCTGCTTTCCGCGAAAGACCAGNCGCACGCAAGGCTACCGAGAAGGCCGACTACCCTACCCTGAAGCGTACGGCCGCTGCTACCCTCGAGAAACTCAAAAAAGCTCAGTTGGCGAAGCGTAGAGAGGCTCGAGTCCGCAAATCGGCGGAGCAGGCCGCAGAGGAGGAGCGACAACTGTTGGCGCGAGAGCGAGTCCTGCGCGCCGATCTGAAGAAGGAGCTTGGGGAGGAGCAGCGACGTAGAATCGAGGCGGAGCAACGGGCGCAAGCAGCGATCGCACGCGAGCAGGCCTCGGAGCATCAGAGGCAGCAGCAGAGGGCTGCTGATGGAGAGGCGGTGGCGAACGTCCTGACCCAGCTGGGAAACTTGCGGTTGGAGAAAAAAATGCTTCAAGATCAACAGCGCGAGATGGTTGAGATTTTTTGTCCACAAGCGGCAAGCGTGATGGCGGTGCAGCAACAGCAGCACAACCGGAATCCGCTGCTTTCCGCGAAAGACCAGCTCATCCGCACCCGGATGGAGGTAGAGCAAGCGAGGAGGGAGCTGGAGGCGGCGTCGGCGTGGGGAAAGGTTGCCGAGACGAGAAATGCTAATTTGAATAAAAAGGTTCATGCGTGCGAGTGTGTGTGTCTTCGCCCTCGTGTTTTTTGCTGTTCCCTTCTAGTGCGACTACTTCGTATGCCTCCGAGTCCTACAGGTTGATAGAACCAACATAAGCAGGACGATACCAAGAGAGGCAGGCGAAGCTGCATGCAGCTGCTATCATCGACAGACTTGGTGTTGAGAGCGAGAAAATACAGCTGGAGCAGCAGCAGCGCGCATTTTTTTTGTTTTCCCGCTCTCGCAACCGCCCGGCTGTTTGCCCGTTGCCCTTTTTCTTTTTTCCGGCAACAGAACGGGCGGGTCCGCCGTCGATTCAGGCGGGTCCGCCG